AAAAAAAAAAGGAGATCAACAAGGGCTAAACAACAGATGCTGTAGGAAGTCTTTAAAATATTAAAAACCCACTTAAATTATATGTTGAAAGAATGTTTGCTTTTATTTTTATTCATCTTCTACAAAATGCTTTCTACTCATTTGTCGTCTATGTTCGTAGTAAGACACACTAAGCAAAAGAACAGTGTCATCTCCATTCCACAGACATGTATTTGAAAGCATTTAGTGGCAAGAGCACTGGTTATTAATGGTCTAAATCAGAGGGCAAGGTTTAGATACTTATTAGTTTTGTGATCTTGGACAAGTCATTTAACCTCTGAGTTTGGTTTCCTCATAAGTAAAATGAGGACAGTAGTATCCCATGCATACCTCACAGGACTATCAGGATCAAATGGGAATGCATGATAAGTGTCCTGAAAAAATGTCATCAAATGTTTCATTATTATTATACTTATAAAAATGGAAGTCATTTTACCACTTCAAGTATTAACAATCAAGACTAAAATGCAATAGCCCTTCAATCTACTATTTAGCCAATGACTCGGGCTTGAATGTGACAAGATTACACTAAAAAATACTGATTTTATTAACTGAACTTTAAATCAACATTGCCATATGTTCAAAATAGTAATTAACTTTACCAAGAAACATAAAGAATTTTAAATATACTTTCTAAATTGTGTGTGTGTGTGTGTGTGTGTGTGTGTGTGTGTGTGTGTGTTTCCAAGGCAATTTAGGATATTCTTTTGGTCCAGGGTTAGGTAATTTCAGGTTGTTAATGGCAATTTTCATTTAAAATTCAGTTAAAATCATTAAAATTTTAACTTTCAAGAGTACAAAGTAGAAAAAATAAAATCTAGTACAATTAGTTTATAGTATTTATATTAGAATCATGAGCAATATGAAACTGAGAATACTTTTTCCTCTTCTTGTTTAAGTATGACTTTCTTTTTGCAGTTTCAGAAATGAGGTAAGGATGCATCTGCCTGATATAGAGGCTCCTTTTGTAATTATGTAAAAAGGTTACAAAAATTAGGACAGGATCAATTCCAGAGGAATTAATTGCTGAGTTGGTAGTAATTTTCTTTGGAGTAACAAATAATTTCCGATTTGGGTGCCAAGAAGTGGATAGCTGCTTTTATACAAATACCTAAAAATGTAAAGTGGCTTTGCAATTGGTTAAGTGCAGACTGCAAAATTTCTTGGAAGAATGAAGAGAAATTCCAGCTCTAAGGGAAATGAAAAACAAAATTTGAAAAAAAGAATCAAAAGCTTAGATTCTGTTGAGGAGACAAAAGCCTAGATTTCCTTAAATAAGCCAATAGTAAAAATATGAATGTTTACAGTAACTGGCCGGGCACAGTGGCTTATGCCTGTAATAGCAACATTTGGGGAGGCTGAGGTGGGAGGATAGCCTAAGCTCAGGAGTTTAGGATCAGCCTGAGCAACACAGCAAAACCTTGTCTCTACCAAAAATTATACATACACATACACACACACACACACACACACACACACACACACACACACGTATTCGCCAGGCATGTTGGTATGTGTCTGTAGTTCCAGTTACCCAAGAGGCTGAGGTAGGTGGATCATCTGAGCCCAGGAGGTTGAGGCTGCAGTGAGGAGCCATAATCATACCACTGTCCTCTAACCCTGGTGATACAATGAGACCCTATCTCAAAAACAACAAATACAAAACAGTTAACAACTCTGCCAATGAGAATCCAGAGGGAAAAGAGATCAAGGCAGAGAAATGCCACATGGATTCAGAGAATAACTAAGTCATGTATCACTGCTAGTAGAAATCCAGTTTTATAACACTGCTTGTGAGGGCTTAAAAGTGAGTTTGTAACTACAGGAAGACAGATCTTTGTTACATTAAAAGGAAGAGCACCAAGCAAAATTGTACCCCGGGTTTAGGCAAAAAGCACAACTTGTAACAATTAAGTCTTTAGCTCAGAAGATTTTAGCAAAGTGTTAGAAATGTGGTCTTGTATCTTCTTACTGCTTATAGAGGAAAATTCAGGAAGGAAAATGATTAGTTAGAAAATTTATTAAGTAAGTTTTATTAAACAAAAAGGTAGCAGAACATGACAAATGAGAAGTTTTCAGTCTATCTGGGGAGTAAAAGGGGAGGTTAAATCAAGGAGATTCCTAGTCAGAGCAAAATCTCATCTGTATTTACAGCCTGAACTCTTGCCTCCTGTCAGGCCAGAAGCAGCAGCATTACATTCTCATAGGAGTAAGAACCATACTGTAAACTGCACATGCAAGGGATATATGTTTTGTGCTCCTTATGAGAATATAATGCCTGATGATCTGCCACTGTCTCCCATCACCCACAAATGGGATGGTATAGTTTCAGGAAAACAAACTCAGGGCTCCCATCGATTCTACATTATGGTAAGCTGTATAATTATTTTATTATATATTACATGTAATAATAATAGAAATAAACTGCACAATAAATGTAATGCACTTGATTTATCTGGTAACTATTCTCCAAACCCCCCTACTCCCAGCTTAACGGAAAAAGTGTCTTCCATGAAACCAGTCCCTGGTGCCAAAAAGGGTGGGGACAGCTGATTGAGAGAGAGAGAGGAAAAAAAAACAACCAGTATGTGATTCTCAACTACTCCATGAAACCTCAAAAAGAACAAAAGATTCCTTCAGGCTCCAGATCATTAAATAAGAAAAGCAAAAGTTAAGGAAAAAGGAAAGGAAAGGAATGGCCAAGGTAAAAGAAAACGAGGAAAGGAAAAGAAAAGACAAAGAATAAGGTAAAATAAGGCAAGGCAAGGCAAAGGAAGAGAAGGAAAGCAAGGCAAGATAAGGTATGGTAGAAAAAGGAAAGGAAGTGAAGTAGAAAGAAAAAGGAAAGGAAGTGGAGAGAGAAAAAAAGGAAAAGGGAAAGATCAAAAAAAAGGTCAGAGAATTAAGTCTTTTTGAAGCAATTAAGAGTATGACCTACAAATATTCAGTGCTTCTAAGAAACATAAGGCTATTGGACTTCAACCATTTTAGCAGAAGTCAAAAAGAGACATAGGATCATCTCAGAAAAAAATCAATGAGCCTCTTGCCTAATACAATAAATGCCGATGACACAAACAAAATTTATTTCAAAAGAAGCACTGGTAGCTTAACCTGAAAGGGACACAGATTGTTGCACTGCCAGAATTCCATAGGCAGGAAGCAGGAAATAAAACTGTTCAGCTGCAAATACCTGCTCTCTTTGAAGAAAATAGCAAGGAAGGCTTAAAGGGCGGAGTCACGGCCACAAAGGGTTATTTCCAGGTCTTGAAACCTAATGGAAGTTTGTCTGGCTGCATTTCAAAATTCCTTTAAACAAAATTTCTTTCTTACCTTTTATTTTACCCTATTTGAACCTGAATATCCCAAACTTTCCTATAATTGTACGTTGGGAAGCAGATAACCTGCTTCTCTGGCTTTATTGGCCAACAGATAGACAAACTGTATTCCACCAGTTGCACTGAAGGACTTGATACCCAGAGAATCATAAACATCTGATTTAAATGATATTTAAGACTGCTAAGCTGATTAATTTCAGCTAAGATTTTGGGGCAGGGGGGCAGCTGGGAACATTAAGAGAGAATGCATGTCATTTTACAGAGACATAAATATTTGAGAATTAGGGTACAGACAGTGGCAGGCAAAATAGTTTCACAAAGATGTCCATACCCTAATCCCTGTAAATCTTGTAAATATGTTACATGATATAGCAAAAGAAATTTTGCAGGTATAATTAACGTTATAAACTTAAAATTGGGGAATTATCCTGGATTACCTTGGTGCATCAAATCTAATCATGTGCGCTCTTAAAATGAACAGTTTGTTCAAGGAGATGTATGTGACAGGAAGATCAGAAAGATTAAAGCATGACAGAGACTCCACTCACTGTTGCTTGAGGAAACCACCATGCAAAGCATAAGAAGAAATGTGGCCAAGCTACAAAAGCCAAAACTGGCCATGGCTGATTTAACTGTAGGAAACAACAAATAGCCCCTCCATTGTACAACAACAAGAAATTACATTAGCCAAAAGTATGGATATTTTTAAATGGATCTAGCCCTGCAGATAAACTTGATTCTTGATATATATTTTTTTAAGACACTGTCTTGCTCTGTTATTGAGGCTGGAGTGCAGTTGTGCAATTATAGCTCACAACAGCCTTGAACTCCTGGTCAAGCAATCCTCCTACCTCAGCCTCCAGACCAGCTAAAACTAGAAGTATATGCACCACCATGCTCAGCTAATTATTATTATTATTATTATTATTATTATTATTATTATTATTTGTAGAGACAGGTTTCCATTGTGTTGCTCAGTGCCCAGGATGGTCTCTAATTCCTGACCTCAAGCAATCCTCACAATTCAGCTATCCAAAGCACTGGGATTACAGATATAAGCCACCATGTTGTAAACAACACTTTGATTTTATCCTTGTATAATTCTACACACACAACTCGGCTGAGTCACATTTCTGACCTATAAAACTGAGGTAAATTTGTCCTGTTTTAGATTAGTAAATGTGTTGAAATTTATCACTGATGAAATAGAAAATACAAATAGCATTTCAAAGGGAGAACTAACAAGATTTAGTTGCATAACTGGAAAAATTAGAGTAACTGAAGGGTAGTAATAAGATTTTGATACTGATGGCTTAACTAACAACATTATGAGTTGGCTATGAGATTCTGACAGGATGTAAGTATGGACTTAAGTACTTAAGTATGAATTAATATCAGATTCTGCAATTTTGATAAGTAATTCCAAATCCGGCAAATGGGAGGTGAAACATCCCAAGAAATAGTTATACCTATTCCATCAAAAAACGAGTTTGGCTCTTGTGGCTGCAATTCAAATTCATCTTCATCCATGGCCTTTAATTCTCATTAGTCACAGCTCCTAAACCAGGGAATAAAGTATACCAAACATTAATTTTTATATCACATATTAAAATGTCATCATAATCTTCATATTTCTGAAATTCTCAAATTAGTTTTCAATAACCTATCAATGTAAAATTAAAGGGAACAAATTGATTTCAGTGATACATGTGCTGTAACAGAACAAGAAAGGGCAGGTAAATCAAATCAAACAGGCTGATAGTGTTTCCGGCTTTTTTTATTTTTTATTTTTTTTTTAAGATACTGGGTCTTGCTATGTTCCTCACACTAGCCTAGAATTACTTCCAGGGCTCAAGTAATTCTTCCCTCTCAGCTTACTGAATAGGTAGAACTATAGGCCACCATAGCCAGTTTTTTTAGGTTTCTTAAAAAGTTCAGTTATCATCTTACATACAATGTACAATGCTTAAGTATTTAGCATAACAAATTTTTACATAAGCGTTAACTGGTATTTGTATTATTTAATTAAGATATAGAACTTTTCTTACACACCAGATGACTCCCTTTTTCCTTTTATCAGTAGCTCCCATGACTTTTTTTTTTTCATAAAGACGGTCTCTCTCTGTCAGTCAGACTATACTACGAGTGGCACAGTTCACTGCAGCCTCAACTTCCTAGGATCAAGGGATGCTTGCCCCTCAGCCCAATTAGCTAGGACTACAGGCTTGTGCTACCGAACCTGGGTAATTTTTAAAATACTCTTTTGAGAGACAAGGTCTCACTCTGTTGCCCAGGCTGGAGTTGAACTCTTGAGCTTAAGCAATTCTCCCACCTTACCCTCACAAGTTCTGGGGCTACAGGAGTGTTTTTGTGTCTGGATCTCATGATCCTTTAAGTCTTAATTTTAACACATTTTGTAGATTTCTGCTGCAAGACTCTATTACATCTCTTTATTTAATGTAGTCTCCAATCTTCCTACTAGTAAATTAACAAAATGGTAAAAACTTAAAATTCCTAATAATTGTAAGCACTCTTCAGATTTCTGTGTATTTTAAAATGCCTCCCACTTCCCTTCTCTTAAGAGACATGGTCTCCTCACCCTGTCACCCAGACTGGAGTGCAATAGCATCATCAGAGCTTACTGCAGCCTCAAACTCCTAGACTCAAATAATCCTCTTACCTCAGGCTCCCAGGCAGCTAGGACTACTGGCACATGCCACTAGGTCCAGCTCCCTTGCTCTATTTTTAGCACATGCTATGGTCACTTACGTGCGTCAATTTTCAAATATTAAACTATATGATAAGGCAATATGCAAGTGAGAAACATATGAATTTCCAATGTGTCGACTCTGAGACAGAGTTACTTAACATTCAAACTACTTCAGATAAAAAGGCTGTAATGACTACATTAATATTTTGTCAACCGCAAAAAAACAGAAAGGTACCTTAACTGCTCTAAATAAGCTGTCACTGCTCCCTCAACCCAAACTACCTCTGGCTGTATTAATTTTTCCTCTCTTAAAAAATCTAATTATAAAAGGATAAATGCAAAGTAATCTTCTGAGCATAAAGAAAAACACATGAAGGGCCGGGCGCGGTGGCTCAAGCCTGTAATCCCAGCACTTTGGGAGGCCGAGGCGGGTGGATCACGAGGTCAACAGATCGAGACCATCCTCGTCAACATGGTGAAACCCCGTCTCTACTAAAAATACAAAAAATGAGCTGGGCATGGTGGCGCATGCCTGTAATCCCAGCTACTCAGGAGGCTGAGGCAGGAGAATTGCCAGAACCCAGGAGGCGGAGGTTGCGGTGGGCCGAGATCGCGCCATTGCACTCCAGCCTGGGTAACAAGAGCGAAACTCTGTCTCAAAAAAAAAAAGAAAAACACATGAAATTAAGGTAATTAATTAATAACGCAATATACATGATTTGCTGGGTTATTGAGGTGACCTTCCGATTTTCCTAAAAACAGCAATTTCATGAGCTCTAATAAAAGATCAACTTGTAGAATAACTTTCCTGTTTTAGGTATTCATCTTCCTTAGCTTTTCTGTTAAGAGTATGATAGATGGGGCCGGGCGCGGTGGCTCAAGCCTGTAATCCCAGCACTTTGGGAGGCCGAGGCGGGTGGATCACGAGGTCAAGAGATCGAGACCATCCTGGTCAACATGGTGAAACCCCGTCTCTACTAAAAATACAAAAAATTAGCTGGGCATGGTGGCGCATGCCTGTAATCCCAGCTACTCAGGAGGCTGAGGCAGGAGAATTGCCAGAACCCAGGAGGCGGAGGTTGCGGTGGGCCGAGATCGCGCCATTGCACTCCAGCCTGGGTAACAAGAGCGAAACTCTGTCTCAAAAAAAAAAAAAAAAGAGTATGATAGATGATCAGTTCCTTTAATTTTGAAACTTGCTCCTTCCTCTTTATATCCTAGTTCTCTTCTCACCTTCTTAACTGATGGCTACTATAGGCTTGCCCAAAGTTTCACATTCATTTTTCTTCTCTACTATTTTCTCATTTATTTCCACAGTTTTTAATGGCCACTTGCATGAAGATGTTCCCCCAAATCCACATATTGAGAAGGAGGTAACATTTCCATCTGTTTCCTGAAGTATCTTCATAAATTAAAGACACAGCTTTCCCCTGGCACAATCACTATGGCCTTTTCATCCTTCCCTGAGAGTTGGCTTCCTGGATCTTGTCAATTTCTTCTCCACAATTTCTCTGTCATCCCTGCCTTACTTACTTGTATTCCCATTAACACCATTCATTCTAAACTTCCTACTTTCTGATCCCTGGAAATGAAAATGGCCTTTTTAACATTTCAAAGACAGATCACTAGTAACCATAATATAAGGGGGTCTTATAATGTCAACTAACAAGGCATTCCTACAATCTGCAGCCAGATGAATCTTCTTGAAGCACTGCTTTGATCAGTCTCTTACTAAGAAGCAGTTCTTCAATGTTCAGGGAGCATCTCATTATTAGCCCAAGCTACCACGAAAGACTTATTTGCTGTTATTACTCAACTTTGCAACTTAGATGGGCAGCATGTCATTCTTCAAACAATATTTTGTGCTTACCCTGACATTCAACATCCTAGAGTTTTCCAAAAGACAAAGTCTTGAAAAAGTGAAGCTATACCTATTCAGTTGTCATTGGCAGGGTCAATAACTGCTGATGGTTACAAATATTTATAAATGCAGAAAAATGTTGGTATCAGTGCCTTAGGGATGTGGTGATAGTTTCCCATTTACGTAACTAGACATCTGTGACAGACAGCTAAATTCTGATTTAATCATTCTGAAACAGGCAATAAAAAGGAGAAAAAGAACTCAAATAAGTGAGAAACCAACCACTAACTATTACATTCTAGGACTCTATTTAGCATAGCAGCTACTAATTCAAATCTTTAATGAAAAAGGGTTAGCTCTAATTTTTTGTCACATACATTCCCTACTATATACTTAAGCCTATGATAAGGGCTGCCCACCAATACAATCTTTATTATAGTGAACAATCATTCTTCAGCAACATATTTGACTGGTTATTGCCCTATTTTATCATGGTGAAAACTGACAGGCAAAAGGGCATTTTTTGTACTTCAATGTAAAGATGACCACCCGTTTACAATAGTAAGCTTTCTTGGGTTACAGCTGCCAATTTCTGCCTACAACAAGAACAAAACCAAACTCTTAAAAGTAATATATTACTACAGTTTTGATAAATAAAGGTGAAATATAAGCTCCCATGATTTAACAGTAATTTCACATGACTTTGCGGTAAGAATCAAGCTTAGAGATCAGCTGAATTGGAAGACAAATAAGAATAATCATGGGAATCCAGTCTAAAAAATAACTGAGGCCAGATGTGGTCACTTAATTCTGTAATCAGAGCATTTTGGGAGGCCAATGGAGGGGGATCACTGGAGACCAGGAGTTTGACAAGTCTGGGCAAATAGTGAGATCCCTTCTCTAGAAAAAATTTAAAAAGCGGGGTATGGTGGCTCACACCTGTAATCCCAGTACTTTGGGAGGCCGAGGCGGGCAGATCATCTGAGGTCAGGAGTTCAAGACCAGCCTGGCCAACATGGCAAAATCCTGTCTTAAAAAAAAAAAGGAGGAGGAAAAATAAATAAATAAATAATTTAAAAATTAGCTGGGTGTGGTGGTGTACCTGTGGTTTCAGCTACTCCAGAGGTTGAGGCAGGGGAGGATCTCTTAAGCCTGAGAGGTCATGGCTACAGTGAGCTATGATCATATCACTACACTCCAGCCTGTGTGACAGAGCAAGACACTATCTCCATTAAAAAACTGCAAAATTAGCCAAATATGATGGTGCATGCCTGCAGTCCTAGTTGCAGATGAGAAAACAAAACACCTAGTAGCTAGTAAACCAAAAAAGGAGAAATAAACCAGTATAAAATAGAAAAGTATTCTACACAGACACACACACACACACACACACACACACACACACACACACACAGAGGTTCTTTTTGTTGTTTGTTTGTTTTTTGAGACAAGGTCTTGCTTGTTCACCCAGGATGGAGTGCAGTGGTGTAATCATAACTCACTACTGCCTCTACCTCCCACACTCAGGCAATCCTCTCATCTTAGTCTCCTAAGTAGGTGAGGCTACAGGCACTTACCAACATGCCCAGCTAATTTTTGTATTTTTTTGTAGACAGGGCGGTCTCACTAGGTTGACCAGGCTGGTCTTCAACTCCTGGGCTCAAAGGAGGGAATCCAAGTGCTGGGATTACAGGTGTGAACCATCACAGCTAGCAGTATTGCTAAAATAATTTCAACAAAGACTCCTAAAATTTTATTACTTTTCATCAGTAATGTGAGAATGCCTATTTCCTAAAAAAAACTAACAAGCACCATAAACTTAAATTTTTTGGCCAGATTGGGTACTGTGGCTCACTCCAATAATCATAACACTCTGGGAGGCTGAGACAGGTGGAATGCTTGAACCCAGGAATTTCAAACCAGCCTGGGCAACATGGTGAGACCCCATCTTTACAAAAAATACAAAAATTAGCCAATCATGGTCGTGGGTACCTGTGGTCACAGCTACTTAGGGGGATGAGACTGGAGAACTCCTTGAGCCTGGGAGGTTGAGGCTGCAGTGAGCCATAATCTTGTCACTGCACTCTAGCCTGGGCAACAAAACAAGACTCTGTATCAAAAAAAAAAAAAAAAAAAA